CTCCACGACGGAGAACGGGGGCCGGGCCACGCAGGCCCACTGGGTCTGCCGCTCCTCTCTCCCCCGGGCTCCAGGGAGGCTGGGGCCGGGGGCCTCTCTGGGACGCCTTCCAGGCTGAGGGTGAAAAGGCAGCCCGGGAGACACATCTCGGAGACTCTTTGTTTCTGCTCCCCGCCGTGCGCAGAGATCGGCGCAGGAGGGGGCGGGACAGCCGATGGGGCGGGTCCCGGGCTCCGGACCTAACGTTCCGCCTTCCCAGAAAGCCTCGCCGGCGGCCCCGGGGGACAGAGGGTCCTAAAAGCCCTACCCTCCCAGGAGTTGCTTGGGCCTTGCACAGGCCTAGGCCTGGGCTCACCTGTTCCCCGCAACTGCAGACCCTTTCGGAGAAGCCTCGTGGAGCTCTCCCCGAATCCTCTGAGGGGACTGGGCCCAAGCCGAAGAGCTGGCCGTCATCCCCGCGGCCAGCACGAGGCCGTTACCAACAACAACAATAATAATAACACCATCATCGTTTTCCTCCCCGAGTAGAGCCAAGAGCGTGTGCCCACCACGCTTGATTAAATCACATAATTAGGAGCTACTTTAATGAATATTATTACATTTCAAGCGATCTCAAGAATGGACTTCTCTTTTCCATGGCCAGGCAGCAGAAGTATAATGAGGGATCTGAGATCATTCATAAGAACGTGGCCTACTCGGGGTGCGCCGTGCTCAGCTGCCAGGCGCACCTGCACCGCGAGCAGTGCGCACAAGCACCGTGCTTGCGGCTTCGCGTTCCCACCTCGCTGTTGCCTTCCTCCCTTCAAGGTCTAGACAGAGCTAGGCCCCCTCTGAGGTGACACCGAGATTTGCAGAGAGGGGCTGCCTGCTCCAAGGCCCCGCGGGTTGCGGTTGCGGGGTGAGTATAGTGTGCATAGGGGGCGTCGGGTTGGAAAAATCAGTCCCCCAGGGTGATTTCTGCCCCTCCTGGCGGGCGTGCTTCGGAATTTCGAGGAGGCTCTTTGTGGTCAGTCGCTATTAACCTCCCAGCTCCCGGCGGCCCCATCCGGCAGGCTGCAGTATTCGGTGGAGCCGGGACCCTCCCAGGGGCGCTTGAAGAACTGCCTAGGAGAGTAGAGACCAACAAGTCGGATATTAAACCCGCGAGAGACAGAAAAAAATGCGGCCTCCCAGCCCACCCTCAGTGTACATAGTGTCTGGGTGTTTGCTGTCGCCTGGCACACCTTTGTGAGCCCTGGCACACCTGTGTCGTGCGATCTGAACTCCTGTCGTTGCGCATTTTTCACTCAATGGAGGCAAGAGTTAGAGCCCTCTTGCTGAGCAAGCTAAGACCGCCGCTCCTTCCCTCCCCTGCTTTGGAGAAAGTGCAAGACTGGTCCACTCCAGAAGACCATGGCCAAATTGAACCCGGGTCCTAACTCCAGCCTGGGGGGTCAAACCTACTCCCCTGATTCTTGCTGGCAAGGCCAGTGACAGAGGGAAAAGAAAGGGCATCTGAGTGCCAAGGAGCCCTGCCCGACCCTCTGGGTGGCACCGTCCCCGGGCACCTGCTCTAACAGGCCTGGGCAACCACCGCTCATCTTCCTGGGCTAGGTCCCCAGGCTCTAGCCTAGGCTCTGCTGAGTTAAGGAAGGCTGAGAACTCAGTTCTGCCTGGGCCTGGTCGGGACCCAGCCAGGCCCCGGGCAGGCAGCCCTTCAGGTCAAAGGAGCAAGGACTTCCTGAAGGTGCTTTTGTTTTCACACACTTGGAAACCCGCCTCCTGAAACCCCCCAGTAGCTGGGCTCCGCAGTATGCGTTCTGGATCCAGACCCAAGCACTCCTGGGGGCCTGGGCGGAACCCAAGCCTGCAGGACCTCAGGAAGGAGCCTCATCCCCTGCCCCTGCAGGCTGGATGCTGGTCGAAATGCCCCTGGGGAGCTGAGGGTGGCCCAGCAGGGTTCTCCAGGAGGGCTTAGGTCACACACTGTTGAAATTTAAAAGTAACCCGTAGGAGCAGAGAATCCCACTCAGCGTTTCAAGGATTTGAGGACTCATTCAGTTCAAGTCCCCTATCAGAGCCATGAAAGAAAAACTTCCCATGTCACTGTGAGCCTGTTTGCATGAAGTCCTCTGGGAACCGGGGCACTCATTACGCCCACAAAGCTGTACATTGCAACTCACCGGTGTTATGATTTTAAAACAAATTAAAATAAAAAGATGGCTTCGTGCTACTATTTTATCTTTTTATTAAAATGAGACGGAGGCCGAGAGGGCAACAGAAGTCTGCTGGTGCTTTTGTCTTTAACCTAAAAACCCTCAGAGACATGCAGAAGTCAGGCTCTCGGGTGGGGTCCTACATGCTCTGGCCCCTGGGTGGTGACCCTGGCGTACTCCTGGGGCTGGAGTAGCCAGGATTCTCAGCCTTTGCGGTGGGCCCCTGCTCTCTCCCTCGACACATCTGTGCCTGTCCCAGGAGCCGCCTGCTACCGCCCGCAGGCCTCTTCCAATGGCGCCGCCCGGCTGGCTGCAGCCCAGTGTCCGCCTGGGGAGCTCAGTGGCCTACCGGCCGGCGCCAAATAAAAAACGCCTAAAAGGTCGCCCTTGGCAACAGCTGATCCTCGAGGGCCTCTGAGTTTCTCTTACTGGGAGAAGAAAACTTTTTTTTTCTCAAGCCAAGAAGTTTGGAAATACAGCAGGTGGGGGCCTTGAACCACTGGCCCTCAGATCACTTAGAACACCTCCCTCCAGGCTGAGGGTCAGCACCAGAAAGCAGTCCTTTCCCTGAATCTGCTTATGATGTACATAACCTCATTTGCTTTAGGGAGGAAAACAAAAATGGCACTGAGGAGCCTCTGTATCACGTGGATCGTCAGTCCTTCCTGCACACACACGCAGGCGCTTCAGTCCTGCCATTGAGCAGCCAGAGAAGGAACTTAGAACCTGTTGAACTTTGCAGGATTGAAAAAATTCAGTCGATGGAATAGCAGTTATATTTTCCAGCAACTCTTCCTTGTGATGAAAATGTGGACATAATTCTCATGGTTCTGTGCTCACATGTGAGGTATTAAAAACGTCATTAAAAAATAATGATGCTATTACAATAAGCCCTGAACCCACTCCGCCTGGAGCAAAGGTCAGGAGCACCTGAGCTTTTGGGAAGTAGCCCAGGGCCCTTCCCCTTAATTCAGAACACACTTAGAAAAAGCATCATTCCAGCTTGGACCACCAATACTTTATAATAAAGAGGTGTTTCTCTTTATTTAATGTAACTTTCAAGAATTTAAACACACAAAAATGCGGGGGTGGAAATGTTCACAATTTTGATAACCACAGTTGTAAATAGAAACATTCATTTCTTATAAGATTATAAATATTTGATACTGAAACTGTAAAATGCACATTTTATAAACTAAAAAAAAAATTACTTCCTGCTTAAAAAGGCATGTCATCTCATTGAGTTTCCTAAGCAGCAGATGGTTATTCACAGAATTTTAAATTACAACTCTTGTTTTTATAGTTTCCTTTTCAAAAAGTTTACACTATTATGTACAAAATGAAACTATTGTCGCAGTGAAATAAAGAGGCTTAAGGCAAAGAGAGAAGTCCACCCCTAGTCCTCAGGGAGGCAGCCTGACCCCAGCTTGGCCATGTGCACAACCCTGGGCTGTCCCTCCTGGCCCCGATGGACATTTGGACACCTTTTCCTAAAACAAACAGAAGACAGTGTGGACTTATATAGAGAGATAATGTGTTTGTTTTTTATATATATGTGCCTGGTGGGGAATATATTGAATATATTTAATTTACACTGTACCACACCTTCAAAAAATAAAATGTATATTTTCTTTTTTTTAAAAAAAAAAGACAAAACATGATAGGGAATGATTATTTACACTTTCCTCCTTCCTCCAGATCCTGGAATGTTCTTAGTTCCTTTGAAAGCCAGCATAGCCACAGGTTCCAAAACCACCGGCCCTACACATGCCTGGTGTGTGCATACACATGCAGACACAAATATGTACACACACACACATCCATCTATCTTGGAAAAATGTTCACTCTAGCCAAAGTGGGCACTCCAAAGAAAAACGGAAAAGAAAAAGGACAGGAAGGCAGCCAACTCCCTGGCCGCGCGTCCGCTCGGACCTGGTCTGGTTTCTGGGCGGGGACAGTTTCCAATGCAGCGGGAAGCTTCACTGAGGGCCTGGGGCTGGAGAGTCGGCACTGAGACTTGCCACAGGGTTGCGGTGGGACAAGGGACAGACAGGACAGCAACACAGACGCAGACAGAAGTACACGTACGCACTGAGGCGAGCGAGCGCTGTGCCTCAGAGGCGGCAGGGGAGAGAGACCTCAGGAGGCGGGTGAGGAGAGGCACCCTGGGAGGCTGCCGCCGCTGGGCTGGGAGCAGGCCCTCCTGTCACGAGGGGCAGATTCTCTTGGCTGAGACCTAGAACTGTCCAAATCCCTGGGCATCTCCTCTCCCAGCCAGGAGAGGAGAGGGCCTGGGGTGCTGACCCAGGCTCGGAGTTTGGGGCCTCATCAAGCCAACACAAACACAGTGGCAGAACTCATAGACCAAATAGGAGCTATTTATTCGGTTCACAGTCGTGTGAAATGCAGCAATAAAAATCTTTGGACTTCAGCAAGTTGTTTTAATTTCTTCTTCTTTTGAAATAATAATAATAATAAAAGTGTCCGATGTCCCATAATGGAGCTTAGGGGATTAAAAAAGATGAAGCCCTAAGCAGCCCCCTTTGCAAAAAAAAAAAAAAAATCATAAAATTAGCATAATCTCGTAAACACAAAAAACTCAAAAAATATTTTATAGTCAGATATTTTGGATTTTACACCACCTGTAAATTATATATACATAGAATATTGCAGTACCATACCTAATACACGATATTTTTACTATTAATGCTGGTATAATCTTTATACACTGGCCCTTTATTTAGGATTTTAAATTATTGCATTGTTTTTTTCGGCCTGAGACCTGCCCTGGCGCCGCCCGCCACCCTACTCGCTGTCCGACTTGCCCTCCTTAGCCGCGGTGGAGTGGTTGTACAGCCCCTGGGCCATGAGGTGCACGGCCAGTGTGTTCTTGTTGCCCGTGGCCTTCTTGATCTTGGCCCGCTTGTTCTGGAACCAGATCTTGATCTGAGACTCGTTGAGGCTGAGTTCCTGCGCCAGGCTCTGGCGCCGCTGCTCCGTCAGGTACCTGTTGGTCTGGAACTCCGCCTTGAGCCTCTGCAGCTGCTCAGCCGTGAAGGCCGTCCTGGGCCGCTTGTCCTCTTTGTTGGGGTTCTTCTTCTTTGGTTTGCGAGACCTGGGACCTGGGTAGGTTTGCAGGACAGAGAGAAGAGGTTACGGTCAGTCGGTCAGTCCTCACCCAGCAGTAAAGCACCCAAGCGGCCCAGGCGAGGGCACAAGGACTCCCCAGAGGAAAGGAAGTGACTGGCCCAGGGCCTCAAGGCTGAGCAGCCACAGCACAGGCAGGGACAGACCTCTGCAGGGAGGAGGCAGGTGTGGGTGTGGGGTGGGAAGGAGATGGAGGCAAAGACTGGTGGAAAGGCCATCACAAACTGAGGCTTCCAGAGGAAAGCAAAAAGCCAAAACTGTCTCTCCACCCCCCAACCCCCAGTCCTTTCTGAATCTCAGACCAGGAATAAAGAAAGGGTGGGGCAGGTATGAGAGGTGAGGGGTTAAGATTGGGAAAAGGGGGTGAGGCATACAGAGAAAAATGGGAACACCTCACAGGGTGCCAGGGGCAGGACGCTCCTGAGAACAGGAGGAGCCCCCTATGCCACTATCCCACTATCCCTAGGGCCGAGTTCACTCTCCCCTTACAGGACCACTAGGGACCGTGCATGCTTTCTTGGGAGGGAAGGGAGCACTGAGGCCCTGGCAGCTCCTTCTTCATCCATTACAATTCTCCCCAGTGCCCTGTCCAGGAGAGCGGGCCTGGCCTCTGCAAGGGTGCTAACAACCATGATGACCTGTCATCCTCATCCCTTCAGACCCGGGGTACAGATGGCACAGTTGACCTTGAGCAGGTTCCAACTTCTGACCTGATCCCACTCATTCCTCCCACAGAGTTGTCACCCAGACCTGGCTATTGGAGGTAAAGGGTGACAAGAGCAAAGGGAAGCAGCTTAAGTGGTTTCTTTCCCTTGGCGCCAGGAAGCTCAACTCAGGAGGTTCCTCGTGAGGGCAAGGTCGGCTAGGCCACTGGTGGAAGTGGTGGCCTTCGGGTTCCTCCATCTGTGAGGCTTATGATTCAACTTTGGAGACCCCTTCCTTTGCAGGAAGAGGCTGGAGAGGGCAGACCCGGCTCTGCTCAGGGCCAGGAAGTGCCCCCGTCTGTGCAGCAGAGGCACACTCTAAGAGGCAGCCAGGACTGCACCTGGGCACAGTTGGAGGGTGTACAGGGCAAGCAGGGCCCACCCCAATAAGGGACCAGCTGGAAACTCAAGGTGGGCAGAAGAACTCCCTCTCTGCCATGGGAGCCATGCACTCTCTCCAGGAGGCAAAACCAAAAGAGGGGACTCTGGGCAGAAGAGGGAAGCCTAGGGCGGTTCACCAACTCCCAGTTAGTTGTAAAACACACCCACACCGGGCACCCATCTGCCCATCACCGTCCCACTTTCCTGGAGGGCGTGCAAGGGCTCTGCTCTGGCTTTGATGCTGGTGCGGATTCAGGGAGGAAAGCCCAGCCGGAAGGGCCGGGGAAGGGGCGAGAAGAATGGGAGACTGCAGGAGCGCCTCGGGAGACCCCGCGCCTCCACCGACCCAGCATGGCTTTCCTGGATCGAGTTCTGGGTTTCCACTTCTCCCCTCACCCCCAAAAGCACACTTCCTGTCCCCCAAACTCCTCTGGTCGAGTTGCGATTGTCGCCTACACAAAACAGTCTCGAAAAGACAGTGTTTTATGGAAAGAAAATCTCCTTAAAAATCACAATTTTTAGTTCCCTTTTCTGTCTTGATTTTTCTTTCAAAACGCAAACACGGATTCCTGGAAATAGAACCAGACCTCTGCAAAAGCCCCCTCTCAGTCCCTTCTTTTTAAGCGCCCAGGAACAGAAACGTTCCTGGGAGGGTGGGAAGGCAGGCGGGATTGTTCAAGCCCAGCAAAGCCAGCGATTGGGGTCGCTCTGCTGGCCGCCCAGGCCTGGCCCGGCAGGGATCCTGCGCTGGCGTTGCACAAAGCCCGGCCGGCTCCTGGCCGACCGACATTGTGAGCCTATATGTTAATTAAATATTAACAAAGGAGGGAGGCGAGAACAATGGAGCAAATTTCAGGTCTAGCTGGAGAAATTTGGATTTAATTAAAAAAAACATACACATACACATTTCTGCGGGAAGGAGCTGAAGGGTGACCAAGTCTTCCTGCGATTTGGATAAAGGACTCCTGCAAAACAGTTGAGGGTTGGGGGCAGAGCAGTTCTGCTGCCAGCTCAGGACAAATGGAGCCCTCTCCTGATGGTACTTCCCAGCCAAATACCCGCATGCAATGCAGCTAATGATTTCTACAAGAAAGAGGACTTAGCTTTTTAAAATCAAACGGCTCTATGAAAAACTATATCCCATACCTCTGCACACCCCCTAACGTTGTGTCTTTCCCACTCCTGGCAGAGCCAGGAAACCCTCCGAGAAGGTCCCCACTTTGAGGCAATCACAGATGCCACATAGTTGGGGACAGTTGTGCATCCCTGCTCCGTGTGGGAAGGCAGATGGCAAATAAGGGCCAGCAAAGGGGAGAGGGCGCCCCTGTTTTCATCCCTCCCTCTGCATGTCCTTCTTCCTCTCCCCTGGTCAGCCTAGGCAGAAGGCACCGAATTAAGAGGAGCCCTTTCTTCTGTGACTACACCTGGGGTAACTGGGGGTGGCTGGGACGTCCTGATTGGGACTGACTTGGAACATGGGGGAAGGGGTTGAGAGTGCGGCCCTCTGGGCCTGTCTTCCAGCTACCCCTGATCCCATCAAATTGGGGGAACACGGGGCAACTTGGATTTGCGGGGGCTGAGGGTCTACAGAGAGGGGGGGGGGAGAAAAACAGAAGGCCTCTTTAGCTTCTACCATCCTAAGGGAGTCTATTTGGAATCAAGCCTGTTCCCGCTGCCTGGCCGCTGCCCAGGCCAGCCTGAACCGCACAAAGTGTCGCTGGGCATGTGTATGGAGAGGAGGATGCGGGATGTCTTTTTCCGCCCCTGCATCCCGCTGGTCTCCCCAGGACCGGCTGGGGCACCGAGTCTCACGGGCTCACCTGAAGAAGGCCGGTCGGAGTAGCGCGTGCAGTAGACCCAGGCCGGCCAGAGCATGGGCTGCGTGCCCAGGTTGGCGCTGGCCTGAGAGCTGTCCGAGTCTGAGCTCACCGACAGGTCGCCGCCGCCCAAGCCTCGGGACTTTAGCGCCCCGTCCAGGGGGCCTCCGGGGTCGCCGCTTTTCTTGGCGCCACCGTGCAGCGAGAGCGTCTTGGAGCCGCCTTCTCCATCACCCGGGGAGTCGCCGCCACTAGTGGGTAGCGGCCCTCCGGCGCGCGGCGCGCAGGGCGGGTTTTGCCGGGACTCCCTGGTGCCGGTTCCCAGGGGCTGCTCCGCGCCGCCCGAGCCGCCGACTCCCTCCGCGCCTCCCGCGCCGCCTTCGTTGCCGGATCCGCCGACTCTTCCTCCGCCCACGCCCACGCAGCTGGTCCCGGCATCCTTTCGCCGGCCGAACTCCGGCCGTAGGATATTGTCGATGAAGAAGTTGGTGATGCGGTGCGGGTGCTGGTGATTGCCTGGCGCCTGCAAGACCGCGGGCAACATCAGAGCCCGCCGGCGGCCGGTATCGGAGTCGCTGGGGCTGCTACCGCCGCCGCCTGAGCCGCCGCTAGGGCTGGATTCCGGCTGCCGCTGCCCCTCCGCCGCCGCCGCCGCCGCCGCTTCGCTGGGCTTGGGATCATTCTCCTCCATGCTTCACCGTAAATCCCAAATAGGCTCTCCTGGGACCCTCCTCCAAAGAAGCCTTCGGCCCTCCCGCGGCGCACTGAGAGACCCTAGTGCTCCTGCCCCAACGAGTCTTCTGAGGGTGTGCGCGGCGGCCACCGCCAGGGCTAGGGTCTTACGAATCAGCGGCTGCGCTCGGAGAGGAGCCACGTTCGAATCCACGAGTTGGGTTAGAAAATACCAAGAGTGTTCCTCTCGCCAGGATGCCGGGAGATTCAAAAGAAGCAGGTCCTTGTCTTCGCGGAGCACCCGGTTCCAGATAGTCACAGTAGTCCTCTGGGGATCCGGCTCCGCGCTCCTCTACACGTCCAGCTGCCTTGGGCTCCGGCGCCGCCGCCTCGGCCGCCCCGGGCTAGAGCTGCGCTCATGCAGGCAGCACGCTCCCCCGCACTCACGCCCGCCAGGGCCAGCTCCGGCTGCAGCCGCCGCCGGGCCGTCTCCACCCGCGCGCCCCGGCCGGCCCTCGAGGGTGCGCGGCGCGAGCGCTTAACGCGCCCGCCGCCGCCAGCACGCACATGGAGGCCCGCGGGCCCGCGCTGCGCTCGGCCGGCCTCGAAGCCCCCTCCGCACGGCCGCCGCCCCGCTGCGGGCCGGGGCGCCCCACCGGCGTGCGGCTGCGCCCCCGCCGAACCCCGCCGAGCTCCGCGGCCCGAGTCGCATGGGTGAGGGGCGGGAGGCGCGGGCCGGGCCAAGCCGGGCTGGGCCTCCCGCGCTCCCTCGCCGTCTGCGCGCCCTCGCCGCCTCGGCCTCCGCGCGGGCTTAGGAAATTTCCAGGCCACTTAGCGCAACCTGAGACACTTTCACTCTGGATTTTTGTTCTTATTTTTAACAGAGCCCCCTCGAGTGACGTCGCGGGCCGGTCTCCTGGACACGTGCCTCGGGCCAATGGCCGCAGCGCCACGCACCCACGTGACACACGGGCGGCCGCTGGTGACAGGAGCCGCCTGCTGCCCCTCCCCCGCCACCTCCTCCCTCCCCCCCCTTAAAGTGGCCGCGTTCTCTGGCTCCTGGCGCAGAAACCCCCGACCCAGAAAGATTCCCTCCCCCAACAAGTCCTCTGCGCGCGCTCGCGTTTCCCCTGTCTCTTCTTGGTTCAGGAATCCGGGGAAACCTAGGACAGCCAGGCCAGGTCACCCTGGTGCGTATTTGTGGACACACGCTGGAAGACTGCTATTTTTTAAATTTCCATATTGTTTACCGTGGGGAGAAATCCCACAATTCCTTGCACAAAATGCATAAATAATATTAAATGAGCTGCTGTGATACAAAGGGACTTTTGTAGTCCGCTTTCTTTGCTGGTGGAGAGGAAAATTATCACTTACGTTTGAATTTGGTAACCCGGCAGCATCCCTTCTTAAACGCAGGGCGGGTGCGAGGACACGCCTCCTGCAGACACTCTAAATGTGCGTACGTGTGCTTGTGCAGGGAGGCGCGTGCATGCGGTAGGATCGTACCCGGCGACGCGGGTCCTCTGGAAGCACGCACGGATCCGCAGCAGCGCGGGCATACGGTTTGGGACGCCGTTCATGGAAAGAGAAATAAATGAGCATAGACGGTTATCACGAAATCTATTTTGGAAAGAAGAGGAGAGCCGCATAGACGGTTATCACGAAATCTATTTTGGAAAGAAGAGGAGAGCCGATTCTTCTCCCAAACTCTCAAAACCATTGGGAGGGAAAATACTCCGGAGGGCAGCTGCCCCCGCAATTCTGGTCTGGTCCAATCAGTAGGGTAGAGTCCCCCCCCCACCTCACACAACAACTGGGCTACCAGACTGTTCACCTCATTTTCTTTGTCTTAAAAATCCTTTAAACTAGTGTCGCTGGAAAGTAGGGTCAATTTGAAAGGAGACTAGGAATCTGATGGCAGGGCGGGGGCCGGTTTGTCTCCCTGCTTTCTTCTTTATCCCCTTCTAAACTCCCTCTGGCTGCTGTTCGAATGTTCAACACAAACTGCTTTTTCCTCTTCTCTTCCCCCTCCTCCCTCGGGCACCTTCCTGTTTGCTCTTCTCTCCCCACCAAACACTCCTGTTAGCTCAGGCTCGCCTGTCCATCATTTAAAATGTATTTTTATGGAAATTTGTGAACTTTGAGAAACATCGAAAATGGCAGCTCTGAGGGTGCAGGACTGCCAGTACAATGAAAGTGCTCTGGGTGGACCAGCATCAGGGGAGGGCAGCAGAGGGAGACCCCAGCCTGGCTTCTCAGGGTGGACTGCCCCTGGGTGCCCACCTTCACAGAGTTCCAAGCTGGGGCAGTCAGCAGGAAGCTGACAGACCCTAAGTGAAGGGCAAGGATGGGGCAAGTAGCCCCCATGCCAGGCAGTGAGACCTGCAGAGCCCTTATCAGGCTTGAGAGTTGTGCCCTAGCCCTGCTCTTCTCAAGCCCACACCCAGCAACTGTCAGTCTGCACCCACTCTGCCCACAGGAAGGCTTCAGGGTGTTGGCAGGGGTGGGGCAGGAAGCAGCAGTTCCCAAAGTGCTGCTCCCATAGGGGCTGATGAGTGGAAGTCCTGTGTTGGGTCACCGACTCTGAAGGTGGCCTGTGGGTGAGTGGGCTCTGGATGTAGATAGGTGCCTCACTCTTCTCTTGAGGTGACCTCCGCTTCCATTCCTGCTTCTCCACTTTTCTCATTGGAGTGGTCTTTCCCAGAGTTTTTGGCTAGGCACATGCCTGATAGGCATACTCCCTGGGTGTTACATAAATGAAACCCCATAACTTGCCTCTAGGAAAATGGAGCTCGTCAGGATGTGTAGAACATCTATAACACATGCTTGGACTGAGGGCGGGCGGGGGGGGGGGTTCTGCCAACTCATAGGACTGTAATCATCCCGGCCAGGGAATGAATAGTCCAAATTCTTCAGGTCTCCTGACAGTGAACTGTGGAGGAAAGACCTAGAGCTGTGTGCTCCCCACAAAGCTGTCCCAGGTTGATTTCTCCGCCTGTCCCATGAAAAGCAATTAGGTCGTGTCCTGACAAGTATTGTTTTATTTTCTTGGGGAACTTTGCCTCTGATAGATAGCCTTAGCATTAGATGAGCCCAAGGTGCTGGACTTCAGTTGTGCTCTCTTGGGGGGCCCCACACCCCAATTCATAGTTGTAACATAAACTCCCCAAAGCAGTGCTATCTGCGGCAGACCTAGCCTGTCTGTGGCTGTGGTCCAGGGGCTCCAGGCTGTACTGTCAGGCTGAGTCAGGGAGGAAGTGGAGTTGCTAGGTTATTTCAGGGAAAAGAGAGGTGGAAGGTGTTTGCGTGGGGGGAATTAAAGGAACAAGGAGCAGGGAATAAGGAGAGGAATTAGAAGAGGGTATGGAGCCACCCAAAGCAGGCCCCCAAATGAAAATACTTCGGGGAAGAGTGACGCTCAAGAATGGGCACCATCCAAAAGCCGAGGGGGGTGTAGGATGAAGCTTGCCACCCAAGGGCTGGAAGTTCCTAAGTCTCCCCAACAGGAATCTCTAGGAGCTGTTTCTGCAAGTCTCTAAAATATGCTTGAGGTCCAGCACTGGTCTCCTCCTCCTTTGGGAGAGGGCTTGCTTTCTGGGGAGGCCGCGGTTCCGGGCTCAGTTGGTGGAGCTGGGGTGCCAGTTCTAGCTGCCTCTGGGCCCTGGGCCCTGCACCAGGCTTGCGGTGCTCCTCGGCCTTCTGCCGAGAATGGCCGCCGCCCTTGCCTCTCCGTGAGACCAACGAATATCGGGCATTTGTTTCTCCTCTAAGGGAACGTGAAGCTCTAGCCCCTCAAATCCGTTTCCCTTCCACCCAGAGCGGGGACCAGGAGTAAGCCCACAAGCCACCCTCTTACGCAGAACTATCCTCCACATTTGTGCAACAGCTGCACAAAGAGGGGCTGGGAGGGCACAAAGGGGAAGCAGGCGTCCACATACCCAGTACTTAGTGGCGCCGACGCTGGTGCAGCAAATGGAACCCCAGCGCCAGGCTGCCATACCCAAAGTGCTGGGTGCCTGGCTCCGGATCCAGCATACCGATTTCTCTTGAAAGAAAGCCTGAAGAGGGTGACTTTCCCATCCTCCCACGCCCCGCGCTTCCCTGGATTCTCTAGATTGTTATGGGGACAGTAGGAAATATCGAAAGCACCGAGAGCGGCTTTCGCTCCCACGCTCCTGGGCACTTGCTTGGTAGAAACGCCCAACAGTTGCAGAAAGCGAAATCTTGATTCCAGAAAATCCGGACCAAGCCAGCTCTGTGCCCTGGCCCAGGGCTGAGCCCCAAACCCCTGGTCCTGGGCGCCTGGCAGGCAGTGGATGCCGAAACGAGGCTGCCTGGGACTGTCACTGGTCTGCAGACAATGGCAAAAACGAAGTGGGGCAGAGAGGCAGGGCGTGGTCTGGCAGGAGCAGTGGGCACTAAGGTTGCCTGTTTACTCACCTGTGAACCAAGGACAGGCCCACAGACTGCTGCAGGCGGACTTGGACTGGGATCAGAAACCCCTACCGGAAAGAGGAAAGAAGAAAGGGAAGGGACCTGGGAGTGTCATGGGGACTGGGTATGCACACACCCTCCCTTCCAGGGCCCTTCCTCTTTCACCCGGGCTTGCCAGGCTCACCAAGCTGTGCTGGCAAAAATGTTAGGTCAGTTTTTCCTGCCGGGACTAGGCTGGGGAGGGCAGCCTGCAGCCTGTCTCTCAGCCAGCCCTGCAGCATGGCTGGATGGTCTGTGCTCTCTGGGTTTTGGGAAGGGAGGGGGCCAGGCACCTACTAGGGAAGCCCTCCTGTCCCAGCCACAGGGAAAGGACCTCTCTTGACACTTAGCCCCCGTGTGGCCAGGGAGAGCCAGGGGATGCCCACAAATGGGCATATATCCACAGCTGGACAGAAAGGATCAGAAACCTCTTTTTTTTTTTTTCCTCCTCCCCAAGAGACATGCTTCTGAGAAGAATGTGAAAACAGCCTCCTCTTTTTATGCTAGAAAGCCCACACCTGAACTAAGTCCTCCCTCGGCCACCAC